TTTGTTTAAATGTATATACATTATTCTTTTTCTATATTCATTGATTCAAATTAATTAAATTCCATGTTCATGAATCAATTTGATTGTTCCCATACAATTCAATTATTTATTTGTGTGCATGTTTAATAATTAATATTCAATTAAATATATATTGAAAAACGAAAAGTAAGGTATTATTGAAATAATTAAATTGTAGTAGGGCTAAAATCGTCTAGAAAATGATTCTCACTTGATACGATATTTAATATATTATAGATATAGATGAGAGCCAACTTTTCTTCTACTCAGTTTTCTGAATGTGACCATGAAAAGAGAAACTTGAATGGCAGAATGGACTTACTTGTTCTGAGCTTATGTGCTAATATTGCTTCTTTCTTTACAGGCTTTGCAGATTAACAGAAACTTGGATGGAACAACTTATGGAAAGAACAGTGGCCAAGGGACAAACAGTGGATGACCTACTGAGGAGAAGTGCTGGTATTCCAGCAGCATTTACTGCCCTTTTCCTCTCAGAGCCCGAGGGCACGCCAAAAAGGCTCTTGCCGAGGGCTCTAAGGTGGCTAATAGACGTAGCTAAGAAGTCTTTAACAGATCAAACTATATTAAACAGCTCAAACAGTGACTTTTCTGGTGGTTTCTCACCAAAATCAAGTCAAGCAACTGCTTACTGTCAACTTAATGAGATGAATGGCAACCAAAAGATCTCAAAGCTTCGGGATGAGGGAGTTGTTCCCACTGTGCATGCTTTCAATGTCCTTAGAACTGCTTTCAATGATACAAACCTAGCAACTGATACATCAGGTTTTGCTGCTGAGGCAATAATTATCTCAATACAATCTTTCTCATCTTCATATTGGGAGGTCCGTAACAGTGCTTGTCTTGCGTATACTGCCTTGGTCCGCCGCATGATTGGATTCCTCAATGTACAGAAACGAGAATCTGCAAGGCGAGCTATAACTGGGCTTGAGTTTTTTCACAGGTATATACTTTACCAATAACTTTAATTTATTCTTTACATTTCTTTCTCTCCATCTATATCAATAGCTGTATTCATATCTGTAACTTTTGTGTTTAGTATTCAGTTTGGACAACCAACCAAATTGAATGTTTGATGGGTGCATGTTAAAGCTTTCACATGAAATTTGAAATTGACCCTTTTTGTGAGTAAAAAGATGTATATACCTGTTGTTGTTTGGATTAGTCAGTTTATTCTTCTAAGAATTATTTACTGATAACAAATATAAATAAGGGTTAAGTATGCCAATTGTCCCGAACCTTTGTTTCGTTTGCATTTTCATTCTCAATCTTATTTTCTAGACAACGGTGTCCCTGACCTTTGAAAAATAGGCACCATTTATCCAAATGGGCGGTTTCTATCAAAAATTTTTTTAGTAATTTTTTGAAATGACAAATTTTCTTAAACTTAAATAAGCCAAAAGCAAATATTTTATATACAAAAATAGAAAGGAAATAAAAAAAACGATAAAGATTAAAAAAAGTCATTTCTTCCCCAATATCACATTTACCACCATCCGTTGGTGCCCATGAAAAATGAAAATAAAACTTATCACCTTCTCACTAACCCCCCGCCAACAGGCTGCGCCACCTCCACTCAACCCCTGTCACCGACCAAGGCAAAAGTAAGGCCACCAAACTGAGATCCACCACTTATCTCCCAATTTTCACCCAGAAATTCCACCACCCAAATTGATGACAGCAACTTAACAATATGTAAGGTGCAATACACCATTGCGAATTAATTCCCAATCCTAAAACCAGGTTGAATCTCGACGAATTAATAAAACTTTCTTTGTTCAAGAAGTTATATTCTCAATAATATTTGGTTATACAAGAGCAGCAATTTTTGGGTAGTGATTTTTTTGCTCAAAAGTTTAGATACTAGGCTAAAATTAATACTTTTGACATAAATTTCATTATCTTCTAGGTTGGATTTTTATGGACTTTTTGAATCAGAATTTTTTTTTTTTGATAGGTAATCACGTAATTTTATAAATCAAAATTAAAAGATAATACACAAGAAGTGCATTATCAGTTTAAACGAGATAGAAATAATAAAAAATTAGGCAATCCTTCTATCGGACTAGTAGTTGCAGCCTTAAACCAACTATACAAAGTCGAGTAAAACAATTCTCTGAACTGCTCTGTCGTCCGTGTTTGATCTTCAAAACACCGGCCGTTTCTCTCTCTCCATACACACCAAACAATGCATCCTAGAATGAGATCCAAAACAAGCTTGCAATTCTTATCTCGAAACTCTCTCTTCTATGT